TGCCGTGGCGTGCGGTTGGGAATCTTCTTTAGACGGCGTACTTCTTCAAAATCTTCTTTCGCCGCTTCTACATCTTAATTTTAGCTTCGATGGAAAAGTTACATCAAACGCTGGAGGTGGAGTTTGACTATTTCTCCAAATACCTCGATTCACGTTGTTTTGAATTATCTTATCAGTGTTTGTCTATGTTGTTCCAACGTATATTTGATTTTTTACTTTACTTGAGCTGGTATGGTACAATTTAGGTTTGAAACTGTTCAGTGGCTGACCTATCACGCCACAATGCTTGGAGGCCAACAGAGAGATCAGAAAGATCCTTGTCCCCTATATACTTGTCTGATTATTTTTCTGTCGTTATAGACGTTCCGGCCGTTTTACCGTCAGATGGTACATCGCAATTTGACGATGCAACCTTAAAAGGTAAGAATAGCAGTTAAAATAAACACAACCTATTCAATAAGGTATGGTTATCAAATCAATAAGGGTTACGCAATCCTTTTAAGAGATGCACACAAAGGGACCTGTACCGCTTAGTGATCATGTAACAGGAAAAATGCAGACAAATTTTGCATGTCAACAAAATTACTTCAATATTTGACAGCCAGTTCAAACTGCTGCTCTCCTGGATATTTTACACATCTGCATATGTCTGGCTGCTATTTTGTGTATCCCTATTGAGTTATGTTCTATATCATGGATGTTTTCTGCTTTTTTGTTAGCGATGACGGAGGTGTACTTGGAAGAAGGTGACAACGAGTACAGCAAAGGAGAAACCAACAATGCAGTACACTTTTACTCGGAGGGACTGCAAGTGAACTGCAAAGATGTCAAACTAAACGCCAAACTCTGTAGCAACAGAGCAGCGGCTCAGCTCCTTCTGGGTAAAAATTAATCAATTGTTCCAGTTTTGTATCCATTTTGATAGGGAATGATTATAATTAATCATTTACAGTTCGAATGGTGTGCGTGAAGGTAAACTTTTGCCGCGTTTGCAGCAACCTCAAGGTAATATGGGAAGGTGGCGCTGGCATGACTGGGACAGGCTCAATGCACGGCCCTGTCACCAACATCACTCGTTCTGGCCGATTTTCTATTCGTCAGCTAACTATTTGAAAAATGGGATAAAATCTGACACTAAAAATTGTGAACTTAAAACTAGCCAATCAGATATATGAAAATCAGGTCGAAAATAGACAGACTGAAAGACCTTTTCGCTAATTTGGCTACTTACCCAGCAGTGAGAAAACATTATTAGCTGCTACGTTTAAAGTAGACTCCAATTCTGAAAGTTGAGAATTTGTACTTCCGTACTCATATGAAATTGTTTTGTTAGGAAATTTTCAAGAAGCTTTGGATGATGCTACATTGTCTGCTCAATTAGCACCAACTTTCATTGAAGCAATAGAAATCGGTAAGTTCTAGACATTTCCTGAGACATGCAAGAATTGTCTCCGAGGATGACCAAAAGGTTGGACTTCTGACCAGTTGACCATTCAGGAGTAAAGCTTGTGCTGGGGTTCCACATTGTCTGATCTTCTTAATCGTTCCACAGTCTAGTTGTATTAGCTTAAGTTCGACTTTGCTTTTGACAGACCCTCTACCAAAAGCACAATGAAAATTCAAAATTTCTCATTTTGAAAAGTAATCCTCCTACTCTCAGAGTGTTCTAGATTAAGTTGTAAGTTCTGATAGTTTTATAAAAAAGCTACTATATCGTCACATTTATTACATAAACTGCGATGTTTTACAAGGATTTCCAGGCCTAAGAAATGTTTTAACAGCACACGTGTAAAATTACGATAAGCCTTATCGCCCACGCACTTTACGACTTTTCTTCCAGGATCGAGGATCCTTTTTTTATTCGTTGATGAAGTCGACTTTTCTTGTCAATGAAGACTATTATGTCTATATAACAAACAAAACAATACATGGTTACTTGCAGAAATGGAACTTCTCTTCGACTGTTCAACCCGATATCTCACTCTTCCCTTGTTCTCACTCGTGAGCTATCGCGTTGACCACTCGAAGAGAAATTCCATATCTACGCGCGCCCATGTACAATTCTCACTCGATTCTAGTAAATTTACTTTGATTGCGCACATTGCGAGACGTCACTAAAGTTAATATTTGTGAGATTAAAATAGAAGTACAAATTGAGGTGTTTTAGTATCTGCAGTGGGAAAAATGATCTTCCTTGATACAATTTTTTTCAATTTCTTTTAGGGGCCAGTGCATGTGTACAGCAACACATGTATCAAGAAGCTATAACTTGGTGTCAGAAAGGATTGGCAGTATCCTTTGACGAATGTAGAAAAAGCCAATAGTGCTTTGGAGATTTCTCTCATTTAATTACTCATGTCAAAAAGCGAAAAGTAGGCAGTTCCCATATCTTGTTGACCCTGATAAATATACGAATTCAAGAAACCGGGCGACTTGTCATGTAAATGGCCAATAACATCAGAAATCATCTTAAACATTACTGGGTCCAAACGTTTACCTGAATGATGCCCGTAATTATATCACCTTTTACCATAACACTTAATAGGTGTCAAACAAATCCAAATTCCTATCAAACCCCATGCCTAAAAACAAAGCTCTGTAATTCCTTTCCTCTCATGTCCTATCACTGGAGTTAAAACCGTCTGCTTGCGCCATTGGCAGTGTCATTGCCAGCTCCAGTCACCGCAAGTGTGCGGAGTCAGGTGCACATTTACATGTAAGCTTATATACTCGCTAACACAACTGATCTAGGCCATGAGAATTAAGTGGACAATTTTTGTCTAACCTCCTATTCCACTTTGGGCAAAAATACATCCGTGTTATAAACTCTAGTTCGTCGCTTTAATATGTTGCCTAAGTAAAATAAAGGATGTTGATGTACAGGGAGAGTTTTTTTTAAGGATTTGTCTAACTGGGCTTACATTGAATACGTGTAAATATGCAGCTTACTCCACACACTTGCAGTGCACCGGCGGTTGAAGTACTAATGGCGTTCACGTATGCTTGCAGTGCTTCTTGCGCTAGCAGTGGTGCTGGAAGTGATGATGAGGATGGCTGCTGCTGCTGCTATTTCTGCTTCTTTCCTCCTCACCACTACTGATAAAAGAAGCAGTAGAGGTAGTTATAGATGTATTTGTATTACTTTTAGCTCTTGTGGCCAATTTTCATCGCACCGGATTGAATGCTGGCGTGGACCGAGTTTGAAATTATAGTGTAAACAGAACTGACCTAAAACTCTTTAGAAGGAAAATTCTTTGACTTGACGCTTTGAAGATTAACAACAACAATAAGAAGTTACTTGATTTGTGGACCGAGTGTTATAAACAACTAACTGGCATAGATGAAACGAGAATTAATCAGGAAATTAACACTAACCGTGACAACACCAAAGCGAAAATCGAGGTAAGAGAACGTTTACGACTTTAAAATTAATCGAAAACCAAGAGTTAACGCGGAGAGGGAGCCTGGATTAGCGTGATTCCATGTAGGACAGACCAGCTCAATTTTTCTGTAGATATATATATATATATAAGAAGGCAGTTGTTATGTTTGTGATACCTAGAGTATGTTTAAAATCTAAGACGGTCGTGCAGTTGTGTTTCGCTGAGCGCTGTTCACATATTTTTTTCACTCTGATATTGTATATTATCTATTTATCATTGTGAATTTATTTAAGCAATTTCCTTAGACTCTGAAGGTAAGTTTTTGCCTAACTTCAAAGATATTATCATTTGTAAGCCTCGAACAACGACCCCTTGGTCAAAACAATTTTCATTTCTTTAGAGAAGAGGCGTAAGGAGAAATGTCCTCTGTCCACACCCAGCTGGCTTGGTTACATAAATTGAGTAGCACCACACGCAAGTCTGGCCCATATAATAGGCCATTGAGAAACGTAATTAAGGATAAGTAAGCCAAGGGGATAAAAGGTAGTAAAACAATTTCAATATTTCTAACTTTAAACCTTAGGATATACAAATCAACGATCAGCTACCTCAAGCAGCTGTCCAAAAGATCCTCCACTATGCGAACATTTTGCATTTTTCTATTGAAGTGGGGGACAAAGCTGGAGAGGGGGGGAGTTCCTGCAGTCTCGGCAATGCTTATTACAGCCTAGGTGATTTCAAAAGAGCCATCCAGTATTATGAACGTCATCTAAAAATTGCCAAAGAATTGGGAGCCAAGGCCGAAGAGGGAAAGAGTTACTGCAATCTCGGCAATGCTTATCATAGCCTAGGAGATTTCGAAAGAGCCATCCAGTATCATGAACGTCATCTAAAAATTGCCAAAGAAGTGGGAGACAAGGCTGGAGAGGGTAAGAGCTACAGCAATCTTGGCATTGCTTATCGTACCCAAGGTAATTTCGAAAAGGCTATCCAGCATCATGAACGTCATTTAACAATTTCCAAAGAAGTGGGAGACAAGGCTGGAGAGGGAAGCAGTTACGGGAATCTCGGCAGTGCTTATCATAGCCAAGGAGATTTCAAAAGAGCCATCCAGTATCATAAATGTCATCTAACAATTGCCAAAGAAGTGGGAGACAAGCCTGGTGAAGGAAGGAGTTACGGGAATCTCGGCAATGCCTATGATAGGCTAGGAGACCTCGAAACAGCCATCCGGTATCATGAACGTTCTCTAAAAATTGCCAAGGAACTGAGAGACAAGGCTGGAGAGGGAAAGAGTTACTGCAATCTCGGCAATGCTTATCATAGCCTGGGAGATTTCGAAAGGGCCATCCAGTATCATGAACGTGACCTAAAAATTGCCAAAGAAGTGGGAGACAAGGCTGGAGAGGGAAGTAGTTACGGGAATCTTGGCAATGCTTATGATTGCCTAGGAGACTTCGAAAGAGCCATCCAGTA